AGTGGTCGGCCACGTCTCGCCGCAGTTTAATTAGGTGCCCGGCCGGCGCGCTCGTTAGGCGGCCGGTGGTGGCCGGGCGCGGCGGCCGTGCGCCACCGACCCCGCGCCCCCGGCGCCGGCGCCTCCCCCAGGTCAGTCCCGCGCCACTCTCCCACGGGTGCGGCAGGCCCCGCGCGCTGAGGCGCGCCGTTGCAGTCACGCACGCGCATTCCGCCGGCCACCTGAGCGCTCCGCCGAGAGCAGGGCGCCAATTATGTCATTTCGGACATTCCTCCAAGCGCAACGGTTTATTGTTAATTAAACGAATTGTTTTAACGCGCCTCGGATTATTTCGGCCAGGTGGATAGGATTTTAAGTTTATGGCGCTCTCCGGGCCGATGGTCGTATCTCTCTGCAGCGATTCCGCCTCTCCCACTGTCATTCGGAGCAGCGTAATGGCGCCGTGTGGGTTTTCGAGCGGGAACAACGGGCTGTGACACCGCGTACCTGACTCGGGATAATGGCTTTTATGATGTTATTCCATTATCTGGCGGCGCCGGCCGCGGACGGCCGCGTCCCGCTGCTGTGACAGCTGGACGAGCCGACTCGATACGATCTGGCGTCCGCCGCCGGCAGGAAGCACAGCGGCCCGGCTGAGAGCTGACCCCCAGCGGAAGCCGGCGTCCACCGGCCGATGCGCCGTCGCAAAACAGCGCCGCGCCGCCGGCTGCGCGCGCGCCGCTCCGGCGCCGGCCGGCGTGGCGGGCGCGCCGTGTTCGGCGCGTTCGGCGGCCGCGTCCCCGGCCGACGCGCTGTTTACCGTGGCACCTGCGCTGGCCGCCGGTCGTTACGTTACATGATTGTCTTTCGCCGTCCGGCGGCGCCCGCCCGAACGGCGGATTGGCTTAAATTATGGCGGGCCGATGGGCCGCCCAACTGGCCGCGGCGCCGGCGCCGGCGCCGGCCGCTAAGTAAACACGGACCCAGATAAAATCTATTTTTCCGGGAAGCACGGTGCCGGCGGACGTGGTCAGCTGTTTTATTGCTGCACGCGTCTCCAATTGTCGCCGGCGCAGGTGCGTACCAGGGGAGCCTGGGAGCAGCCTCGGCCTCCACGCGGCGGCTCTGGCGACCCTGGCAGATCCCAGTCACGAGGTGCCATTCTGCCTGGGGTTCCTCCGGAGGAGAACTCGGCCATGGAACGTCTCTAGCCGGAGATCCGCTCACCGTGGGCTCCGGGACAAGGCTCCGGTCCACCTCTGCTAACGGCCGGGGCTCTGGTCTTCCTCTGCTAACGGCCAGGGCTCTGGTCTTCCTCTGCTACCGGCCAGGGCTCCGGTGTTCCTCTGCTATCGGTCAGGGCTCCGGTGTTCCTCTGCTACCGGTCAGGGCTTCGGTCTTCCTCTGCTACCGGTCAGAGCTTTGGTCTTCCTCGGCTCCTGGCCCGAATCCGGTCTTCCTCGGCTCCTGGTCCGAATCCGGTCTTCCCCAGCTCTTGGTTCGGGTTCGCTCTCGCCAGGCCCCTGATTCGGGTCCGGTCTTCCTCGACTCCTGGTTCGGGTCCGGTCTTCCCCGGTTCCTGGTTCGGGTCCACTCTCGCCCGGCTCGCTTTCGGCCTGCCGGCGGCTCGTCTCGTTTTATTAATTACGCCGGGCGGCGGCAAAAAGTTGATTGGACCGGCGGCGGGCAATCTGTGCGGGGATGATGCGCGCGGCCGCGTGAGCTGCCGACTACCCGTGTTGATCGGCTGCGATGGGCTGCCAGATACGGCCGGCCTCCGCCGGCGCACGCGGGCCGCCGCCGCCGGCCGCCGCCGCCGCCGCCGCCGCCGCCGCCGCCACCGCCGCCGCCGCGTGCCGACCTGAGCACGGCTGAGCCGCCGCCGGCCCGGCCGTGACACCGGCTGGCGCTGGCCGGGCCGGCCCCGGCGCCGGCTTAGCAGTGCTCGCACCGCAGCCGGCTTCCAGCGGGAGGCGGCCGAGCGGCTCCGTGCGCGCGGGCGCCGGCGTGGTCGAGCCAGCGCAGTTAGCGCAGCTCCGCCACCGACGAGCTGAGCTGAGCTGGCTGGCTCGGGACTTGCGGTCTCTGGTCGGGTGTCGTCGTAGCGGGGGCGGCCGCCATTGCGCGCACCGTGTGCAGCTGCGATGGTGAGTGGTCAGGCTTGTGTGCGCCGGTGGAAATGGCGGCGACCCGACCCTGACCCGACCTCTGCCGCCCGCTGGGAAGCGCGGGTCACCGCAGCGCCGCCCGCCCGCAGGTCGCAGATTGCGACCTTCCCGGCCAGCGGCCCGGCGTGATGGAGCAGGGTCCAGCGCGGCCCAGGCTCAGCCGCCACCGATGCGGCGAATAATTATCAATTACTTGAGCCCGTCACGTCAGGTCGCGCCGTTCGGGCCGGCCGGCGGGCGCAAAAACCACTGCTCTTAACACCGCCCTGCCTCTATATTTTAACCCCGACATCTCAAGTTATTTCACAGACAGACATAAGGATGAGAATTACTGCCGCTGCGGGCCGTTTTTGTGGCGCTGTTTAATTTCCACGCCCGGAGCAGCTCGCTGCGTCGAATTTATGCAACGGCAGGCGACTAGGCCGGCCGTGCCGGGCCGGGCCGGGCCGGACCGAACCGGGACCGGGTGGCCCGCCCTCCTGCGCCAGTGTTTGTGCCGGAGGAGGGGAGGGGGGGGGGGGGGGTGGTCCGTCGCGACACGCCGGCACCGGGACCCACTCTCTCCGCCGCCGCGAGGGCTTATTGGGAGGTTAAATCCACAATGGCGCCGGATTAAATGGCCTCCCGTCCACCGTCCGGGTTGTAACCCTTTGAACACTTCTGAGGACTTTTTGTTGGCAGCAATTTCAAGAATGAATTATAATTGGATCGAGGAACGCGTCTTGACACCATAATAGAATGGTGGGGATTGAAAGCTGGCAGGTTTGAAGGAGCAACACCCTAGCAGGTGCCATTGTCCACAAAAAGCCGTCGTGGACTGCCTCGTTAGCGATAGTGGCATAATTTTTCCTCCATTATGCGCCAACGGGTTCCTTTCTGCGGGAGCAACGACCTTACTCGCTTTGCATAACAAAGTGTCCGATACTCGGCGCATAGGTAATAATGTGCCAGTGCCATTCATTGGGTCTGTTACAGATCGCTGAAATCTGATCTTCGGATCGCCTATCAGATGCCAAAATGCACATCGCCTGGGTGCTGCAGCGGGTTTTTATGGTCCTTTCGCCCGGTTAATATAAGATCCCGCTCCACTATAAACAAGGCGCTGTAAATCTGTCGAGAGACAACACAAATGGGCATTACATTTCGTTAAAAAGTGATAAAGCTGTTGGAGAGCCGTTTCATGCGTTCACTAGCTGAGCTCTCCTGTGTTTGTTACAACCAATTGAACAATTGCACTACAGATTTAGGAGCTCGTTTTGTTTAACGGCAAATGCTAGTCAGTGACACCGCGTGTTGTTTTTTGGACGTCAACAAAATATGTTATGCAAACGGCGACCTCGTTAAGCCCCTTATTATCCCAACGGTATGGCAGGGCTTAGTGTCATAGAACTTGACGCTGAATAGGACTGTTTGATAAACGGCTCTGGAGTCAGCCTTTGCTACGAGGATCAGCCCGCTACCATTCATGAAGTGTCGTGCTCACTAACGTATGTACGTTCAGCGAGGGGACATCTGTGTCTCGGGCGTATTCGGGCAAAACCGTACGGCCTCCAGTACAGCGGCCCAGAATTCCATCCAGGAAGTTGGTAAATGTTATGCTTGGAAGTTTGCACATCAAAAGCCAACGGGAACTCTACGATCATTTGTTAATATCATGGAGCTTTCGTAACTGCCACGGTGGGCCCATCGCCATACCATGCCATTTATCAGAAATACTTCGCCAGCCATAGAGGGAAATGGCCCCCACTCCTCCAGTAATAAAATTCCAAACTACCGACGGCAACTTGTGGTCCAGAGGTCCAGCGATAAATCAGCCGTGAGCCGTAATGACAAAATTGAATTTCATTGTCTTATTTGCAATATAGCGCTGAAGTTCTGCAGTTGCAGCGCGCGGTCGGGCCGAATAAATAATTGATATATAGCTGTTGTCGACGCTGGGCCTTCGTAAGTGGCACGAGGAACCGGTCTTGGTGCGCCGCATCAGAAGCCGTACGTAAATCTGGCTATAAAAGTGATTCAGGGTATTACTGTATTGGGCATGCGGCCGCTGCCGCAGCAGCCGGACGGCGAGTCGTCTTTATGGGCCATCCTGTGCCGGTCGGGCGCCACCGCAGCCTCCGGCCACGACCTGCACGGCCTCGGCGCCGGCGCCGGCCGTGCTCCCTCTCCCAGCCTGGGTGTGGGGGGGGGGGGGACGGGGCGCAGAGCGAGGCGCGAGCGAGGGCCCGCGCTGCTCTGTCGTATCCCTGGCTAGGAGGGGGAGGGGGGGGGGGGGGTCCACGTGCCGTCCGGCCCCGGCGCGGCGGCGTGTCGTCCAGCGACGCCCTGCGCCGTGGCAGTGGTCCGCTGTCAGTCCCGTCCGGCGCGGGTGGTCCCCAGGCCGGTCCGTGCCTGACGGGCCGGCGGGCGGCCCGGCACGGCGCGGCCCAACGCCACTCGTACCAGTGGAACCTCGTGTCGAGTTTCGGCCACCGTTCGTTACATTAAATACCCGCCGTCAGTGTGAATGATTAAACACCTTTTTGTAACGGCACCACAATAAAAGGCACGTGCGGTTATTAAGGAGCATTGTCGGTTGTGCGGATACCTGCTTCGCCACTTATCACGAGTTAATGCATAAAGTTGGCCCGCGGTGCGGTAAACGCTCGTTAAATTTTTGTAATTCATCAGCTGAAATTGAGCCCGTGCTGTCCCGAGGCGTACCGACGGCAGATATGGTATGAGGCTGGTCATAAACAAAGGGCTTGAATGTTTTATCGCATCATCCTGGTCGGACGAGTGCTGCTTTGGTCGATGCAGGCGGGTCGTGTGCAGGGCGTCGGCTAACACTCTCTCTGCACTCTTTGTGTGCAGGTGAACCGGCCCATCACCATGAAGAAGGAGGGCATCCAGACGAGAAACAGGAAGCTTTCGGCCAAGTCGAAGAAGAAGGAACGCTACGGCATCCAGGAGTTCATCCGACCCATGGAGAAGGTCGGCTTCGGCTTCCCCGGCTCCAACTTCGCGCCGAGCATGGCGCCCTACATGGCCTACCAGAACAACATGCAGTCGATGGGCAACTTCGCGCCGCAGCCGACCTACTCGGCGATGCCCAGTATAGGCAGTCTGGGCATAGCCACCTCTAACGGAATGGTGAGGCTTAGTTCTGCGACGCCCCCCTCGAGCATGCTCTGTCTGATCTGAGGATTTGTGTAAATGTTCGGGTGGCATGATCCAAGCAGCATTTGATGATGGAAATACGAATGGTAACATTTTAAATAATGCTTATGGGTACTAAGGAGTGCCATTGTGGATGTAACATTGTAGGTATATTTATATTGTGCTGCCTTACATATGATATATGGCGAACGTGATAAAGCCATTGCAAGACATGCCCCGGGTGGCGGCAGTGTGTCCAGTATCCGGCCCACTCCCGTGCAGCCCGCGAGGGCGTGGGGCCGGACCTGGGCGTGGCCGCCGTGGGTCCGGCTCCCCTCCCCGGCCGTGTGCCCGTCCAGACTGAGGCGGTGGCAGCTGGGGCCGGCCCGGCGCCGCGACACGAGCCGAGCCCGCTGCCCGTCCGTGCAGCGCGCCTGACCCGGTGACCACTTTCAGAACGGCTGGCGGAACGACTTCCACTAGGAGCGGGCGTCGGCGCGACGGCGGCCCGTCCGTCTGCCGGCGCCGCGGCGGCCGCCCTGCCCCAGCGCTCCGGCGGCCGGGCCAGCGGCGCCGCCGCCAAACCCCACCCAGGCGACGGTGAGCACCCCGCCCCGCCCCCCCGGCCGTGGGGCCGCCGCCGCCGCCGCCGCCGCCGCCGCCGCGCGGCGGCGGCCGTCGCGGTTTTGGACGCGCGATGAACACTGTGCTCGAAAATCAGGTGTGAGCGCAGCAGCTATGGGGTCTCGCAGATGGTGTGCGTTATTGAGCGGCTTGGCGCCCCTTAGCTACCGCGCTTGGGTACACACTTGGCCAGCACAGCTGTATCAGTGGGGTAGGTGTCAGACTGGCCGCAATTGTGTAAGCGCTTTTATGTGACTGAATTGACGCGCCATCTGAACGTGTTTTTATTGGGTGCCCCGCCAGCGGTGTGATTATCCGCAGGCAGGCGCTCAAGTGGCGGCGGGCCTACTGCGCACATTTACACGGCTTCTGGCTCCTTTCAGGTGGCCTATCTGTGATATGCTCTAGTCCAATAAGAAGATCGACATGTTACCAGCTGTGAAGGGTGCGTGGGTAGACCTGCTGTGTCTCAGAGGTCCGGATCCGCCCCGGTCCGGTCTGCGGTCCGATCCAGATCCGGTCCGCCGTCCAGCGCGCAGCCCGGTCCACCTGGAGCCAGCGCCGGCCGCGTGGAGGCCGCGCCGCAGCCGGACGGTGCGAGGGCGGGCCGCCGGCGGCGGTCAGGTCACCACGGATCGGCCTCCGCGGCGGCGGGAAGCCCCGCGCCGCGACGTGACGCCGGGTCGGGCCGCGGCCGACCGCGCCCGGGCCGCCACCGCCGGCGGTGGTGCGTCGAACGTCGCCCAACGGTGCAATACGGACTCCATACAGCGCCAGCCAACTCCGTGACGAGCGGGCGCAGAGAGCGCGTGTACATAGGGCCGGCCGAGTATGCGTTGCGCAGACGGGGTGAGCTCGCGGTGTGTCCATTGGGTTTGCGGATATGTAAAGGGGCCAGGACATTCTGCGATGGTACCGGCCGGGCTTGCCTTGTAATTATTGTACAAACCCGGGAGATTAGGCCTGATCTCACTCCGTTGTGTGCTGATGAGAATGTGCATCGAGCTTAAAGTCCGATAAAATGGCGTCAATCTCGTTACTGTTCGCGTTGTTAACAGTCGAATTCAGTGCTTTTCGTTAACTGCTTATGTCTAAATGCGTCCCATGTTTGCATAGACCTAATACATATTACGGTAATATGATCAATCGCAAATGATTGTACTGCACAGTGTGGCTGGGGCTAAATACAGACGAAGTTTGCGCATCAGGCTTTTAATCAGATCGCCCATCTTAAGTGGCCACTTTCGACAAACTATGGTGCCCTGGTGAGGTGCAAAGTGGCGAGCATTGGGCTGCAGCCTGAAATTTATACAGCCCTCATTACATGCTGAAATACTGAACCGTCGCTGACGGCCAGCGTAGGGCACTGGGACATCAATGACCCGAGTAGTCACCGTTCACGCACGTGTGTGCTCCCATGCGTGGGGTACATTGCAAAGATTGAAAGTTTCTGATGTAGATGCACGCTATAAAATGCTCAGATGTTTCTCGGTTGTGTACCTTTTAATTAGAAATCCTTGGCGTTCAACCAGTGCCCAACATAACCTCATGGGAATAGCTATTATCTCTTGAATGCATCCTTTCATTCACCCAGAAAAGTTCATTCTCCCACACCACTTCGGTCCAGTCCATGCGGATCAGTAAATGAACTAAGGGCACAGGGATAAAGCTTCTTCACGAGCGGACACAGCAATGCGTACCGTCGCCGCGCGCACATTTCTCGCCCGATGGAAGATGGCTTCAGCAGGCTTCTTTTGGTTCGGTGGTTAGCGGCATGCACACACATATGAACAATGTGCGTTTTTGGTCGTCTTGACATTTCACTACGAGTCATGAAAATGCCAAGAGTCATGAACCAGGCGACTGTATGCAATCCGATGGCAGGACCAATGTTGCTTTGTTGCGAATAGATCGCACTGCCGAGCACTTGGTCTTGATAACGGTCGACACAACTGGTGAAGCAGACCGCAGTTTGTAGAGCGCTGTTTTAGTCAATACTTTATTGTGATGTGACTCAAGGTCTGTGCTTCCAAATCCAGTGCTTGCGGAACGTACCGCTGTCTTTGCAGCTGTGTTGCCATTGCCTGTACAAATTTACGCAACTGTTTTCAACGCTCCAGCGTCGGGATTACGTTGTGATGTAAGGACAAAATCCGAATCCAAGCACGTGCCAGTAAACACCACATAGGGGTCAGACATGGTGCAGAAACCACGTCGCGCCTGTGTGCCACAGTGGGCCGCTTGCAATTTGTAGCGCCCTTATTGCCTCAATGGCATCGTCATGTTCCGTTCTTTGCAACGTAAACTAACCTGATGATGCCATCATGCCGTGATCATGACCTGAGCTGAGAGCTATCGTCGGATGGAGAAATGCGTACTGTGCTTCAAATCTCCTATACACCTTTTTGCATTTGCACCAGGCTAACAGGCAATTGGTAGTGATGTATCATTCAGTGATATTCAAGCAAGTAAACAAACCGGCCGATTCTCATTTTTCTTGGCGTTTTAGCACCAGCCCAAGCAACTCAGCTCTGGGTTGTAGCACAATCTCTCCTGTGCAACGCGGGATTCCATGAAAAGGTGCAATTCTAAAGCAGCGGATTACAAACCACGGGGCATGTTTTCTAGAACTGTGAATTGTTGCACGCTGGTGACGGAGAACGAGGTTCAGCTCCGATGCCCATCAGCCTGAAGACTGTCCTTAAATCCGTACAGCTGAGGAACACCTTTTTTCATGTGATGCCAGAGGCTCAGCGCTAGTATTAAGACAGAGTCTTACACTACTTTTTTGAGGGACCGTCGCTAAGCTGGCAATGCTTTTGACACCTTTGTGAACCCGATAACTCTTTAATCTTTGAGATCCTGAGTATAATTCGGTGAACACTCTGTGACGCTTTTCCTGGATTGATTTGGCATTAGGTGCAAGAAGGGCATCGAAGGGGCTATGGTAGCCCACTTAGGTTTGAGCTGTTTAAGAGCATGACGTCAGTTCACCTTGGTGACGCGCCCGGTAATTTCAAACTGGCATACGTTCCAGCGCTTTTGCGCATGTTGCAGGTGGTATTCCACCAATTTTGTACTTTTCACTCATATTTAGATCAGACGCGTACGATTTGATCAGCAATACCAGTTTTCTCGAGGTCAGTCTGAATAGCTCAGAATTTCAATTTGACGTAACCGACCCCGCGGGAGAAATCTCATTTGCATCCCTGCTCACCGCTATGGAATTAATGCATTTCATTAACCTTGCTTTTTCATCGTATGTCGCTATACTGTTTGCAAGACACTAATGTGTCAAAATGTTTAGGTAATGAATTTTACGAAAGCTTGATGCACTGTGTTTAGACAAAAATACATGCGAACATAAAGCTACTAACCCGCGAATTTACCGAAACGTTATACGATGGCCTTGATTTCTCCCCTATGGCGTTTACCATAGCGACTCTTCTTAAGGCGCACTTTGAGTTCGGGCTGGGAGCATCACATGATCCACGTGGACGCACTGGTTCGAACTTCAACCCGTACGCTTCTCGGTAACGGGCTCTCGTCAGCTGGGTCAATAACAAATGTTCTTTTCTTCGCACCAGTAGGGGCGCGCGCGGGGGCTGTCACGACGCCGGCGGTTGCGACTGCAGGGAAAAAGTGTAGTGCTGTACAAAGCGTGGACAGCGTAAGCTAGACTCGAGAATAATCGAAATCGATATCCTAATTATGCCTTGACGGTGCCACAGCGGCACTGCCGATTGCTATTATTGGACGTAAATAGTCTTGAGGTTTCACCAAAGTATGTTTTTGAAATATGTCTCAAAGGTGGACCACTCCCTTCAGTTGGGCAGCAGAGAAACCCGTGTGCGGAAACCCGTTGACAAGGCTTTGATGAATGCACCAGCAGAGATGGAGTGACTTGGTGTTTGGTGCCTGCTCCCACATTTGTTTCTTTTGTTGCAATGTTATAGAGCTCAAAACTTCTCCAGTGCCATAACGTATGCGTTGCTGCCCAAGTGTCCGCAAACACATGCAAACGTATCTAAAAACGCACGTTTTACAGCAAGACGGGAACATATCTAGAGAAACGAAGATTCAGTTAAGCTTCATCTGGCACAGGAATCATTGTCCTTGAAAAATAGGAGGGGCATGGTCATATTGATCCAGATTTCATTGCACTTATGTTTAGTGTTCTCGCCAAAAATGCGTTTCACAAGAAAAGGCAAGTCACTTTTTGAAGAATACAACTTAGTGATAGCTAAATAAGGCTTGCAGCTGATTTCATCACCAACAACGTAGAGCATGTCCAGAGAGTGCTGTCTGGCACGGCACACGTGACGTTGCATGGAATACTTTTGCTGTCTCACACATCACGACCTGCTGCGAACAATTGCTGTACGCCTCTCAAGAGTTGCCCGATGAACCGAGCTGATACAACGCCCTCTACATGGAAGCATCCGTATTATCTCAAGGATTTTTCTGCACTGTCACAAAAGTAAAAGTGCAAGATTAGTGTTCAAGCTTCAGAGACCTGGTGACAATCCTGTGTTTGAGCACTGCTTAGCAGGAAGCGGGAGATTTTTCCAGTCATTCATAAAACGGGTTGTAGATGGGCCGTCTGCCCAGTATTTAAAGGTGGACATGCGCTCAGGAAGGCGACTCGGGTAAGCTCTCACACCTATACCCAGGTAGGCTGCGTAGGCGCAGCGGGTGACTGCAGGCCTGAGTGATCACGATTTTGCCAGGGACGTAGTCGCGCAAAATAAGTGTAGAGGGGAGGGGGGGGGGGGGGAGCTGAGCTGGGAAAACGGTTTAACTTGGCCGCAAAATGCGCAAAATGACTTTCACTCTGAATTATTTATTTCCTCTTAAACTTGGGGGCCGGTGACGACTAAACTAAATAGCAAACTACATCCCTGGTCATGTTTCAACTGTTGTAATCTTCGGTGGTATGTACCGCACCTTGACGTCTGCATTGCTTGCTTGTCAATATCACTCGAGATTGGTCTGTGACGCAGTTAGTGTCTTAATTATATTTGGTGGGTATGATTCACCCTTCAGCAAGTTCAAGCACTAAGCTTAGAGAAGCCACTACGTCTGTGAGCATTGCTATGCAATACAGGTCACTAAGTTACGCAATATCATATCCAACATGCGTCTAGCAGTGTTGCCGTGCAGTTGGTATGTTACTGTGCCCAAATTATGAACATATACACTATATCGCGCAGAAAAACGGTGAAAAATTTCAAGTCACAGCAAATTTAGCTTTCATTCTTAAAAGTTTTGCTCTGTGCCCAGACTTTCACAAGCTCGTAATGCGGAATAAAGTGATACGATTGATGGTTTAGTTGTTGGTCCACCTTTTCACCGATATTTACTGCTACCAAATGATAGTCAAATTCATGTCAAGTGTTAAGCAGAACGCAAATGTGCAAATATAGTATCGAGCAAGACCTCAGATCTTGGCAAACAGAAAAAAGCATCGGTTGCATTTACCACCATTTAGGCGCGTGCTGTAGTTCACTACAAAGCGCATGGGTACTTGCGATAGTTTGCGAACCGACATGACTACTGCCACTCGGGGAGAGAG